GCGGGGCTCAATCCCAGGACCCTGGGATCATGACCTGAGCCGAAGGCAGACGCTTAATAACTGAGCCACCCAGGCGCCCTGTCCTGTATTTTTAAACAAGTGAAAACATGCCGTTCGTGTCTTGTGATTTTTGTTTGTTGTGTTGCGATCATCTTTTCAGTCAGAATATTCTTTTATAGGATCATTTTAATGGCTGCATAGAGTTCAAGTCAATGAAGAGATTATAATTATTAAACCTATATCCTATATTTAGATTGTTTCCACTTTTGCTGTTATAAAGAGAGTGGTGATGACTTCCTTTGTTTTTCTAAATCTTGCTACCGTCCAGTATCTTCTTAGTTAGACAGATGCTGGGGCAAATGCAGTATCATGTTTTTAAGGTTTCCCATCCAAAAAGGTTGTTGCAGTTTGTTCCTTAATACTCTTGCCAGGAGTGTCTATTTTTTCATCAATCTTCATTTCTTTGTCCATCTGATATAACTCTTTGTCTGTTTTGGGTGGCAAACGTGCAGACTAATTTCAAATATTTATTAAAGCATCAACCAAGAATCAGTATCTTATTTAACCTCCACACTGTTCCTGTGATCGATTCTCTTATAGGGATCATGAAAGATATGGTTTATTGTTCACCTACTGTGTGTCGGCCACAGAATATTTCTATTTCCAATCCTTTGCACTCTGCAAGGAGGGGCGGTGGTGTGTTATTATCGATATTTTACAGACAAGGCTCAGAAAAATTATTTGCCCAATGACATCTAGCTCATTAACTGGGCCAGTACACAAACCTTTCATACTCTAAGACCCATACGTGGTCCTGCGCCCTCTGCTGGTGAGGACGTTTTATGCGGCGGTCCATCTCCAGATTTAATCTTAAGTTTGTATTTAAGAGTCAACTCATCATGGAAATAGTACAAACTTGGAAGGAAGAGTTTCAAGAGCAAGTCTCTTCACCTCTCCAAGCCAATTTCCTCCGCAGGTTATTCTGAGGTACAAATGAGACTGTTTGAGAAGCATTTTATAAACCTTAAAGTACCTTTAAAAATGTCAGTTGTTATTTATATCAGCCCAATCTACATACTCCCTGAATTATTCCAAATTCACTTATTTTTCACCTATCGAATCACTAATTAAATATTACTGAGGAACTTCTATGTACATAGCACCACCTTGCTACAAAAAGAAAAAAAAAAGTGTGGCTCTTTGCCCTTGTGCCCTCTATAGTGAAAATAGTGGGAAGCAAAGCCAAAGCTCAGGACACATTTAAATCAAAATGTGAGGGGTGCCTGAGTGGCTCAGATGGTTAAGCGTCTGCCTTCGGCTCAGGTCATGATCCCAGGGTCCTGGGATCAAGCCCCGCATCGGGGTCCCTGCTCAGTGGGGAGCCTGCTTCTGCCTCTCTCTCTCCTCTCTCTCTCTGACTCTCATGAATAAATAAATAAAACATTTAAAAATAAATAAATAAATCAAAATGTGAGGCAGACTCTGATCAACTGATCAAATGAGCAATCAGACTGGAACTGTGAATGTTATCAAAAGGACCTTTATATTTGAGGTGAGGTCTGTGGGGGAGGCCTCAGCCAAGAGCCAGAATTTCTACTGACCTGGGTGCTTAAGAGGGAAGGGGGGACACTTCAGGAAGAGGATATTCTGCATACAAATTCCTCATATGGACTGCAGGCCTAGAAAGAATTTGAAATGTAATTCTTGGCCTGCAGAGGTTTTTGTGTTTTGGGGGGTCTCCCCGCCCCGTTTACTTTAATACTGCCCCTTGCCAGTACCCATTCTAAAAACTTTTTTTTTTTAGATTTTATTTATTTATTTGACGGAGAGAGATAGAGAGCCAGAACACAAGCAGGGGGAGTGGGAGAGGGAGAAGCAGGCTTCCCGCGGAGCAGGGAGCTGGACACGGGGCTCGATTCCAGGACCTTGGGATCACGACCTGAGCCAAAGGCAGATGTTTGAGGACTGAGGCCCCCAGGCGCCCCATTCTAAAAATCTTTTTTTCATGCATCAACAGTTTTGATTGACACGTACAGGAGTCAGTTAAAGAAAGAAAAAGAACCTACAGGTAATCACTGACCCTTTAAAAAACGTAATTCTGCAGAACTTCTTGTCTGAAAATTAGCTTAGAGATGACAGTGGATTACACTCATAACAAAAGCCATCAGACGCTGTGGTTCTGCTGCCTGCTTAAGAGCTTACACACTTGTAATCTTCGGGGGCTTGAGCTTGGGAAAATGACAAACTTTTTGCCTTGGTTGCCTTGGTAGGTTTCGTAATATCTTACTTTGCAGAGTTGTGAGGATTAGTGATATTATAAATTAACTAGCAGAGTATCTCAAGTAGGCAGCTGTTATTAGAAAAATGCAAAATGTAGAAAGTGCACACAACAAAGGCCAGGATATTTTTGGTTCCAGGTTTTTGTAGTTTGCACTAGTCCTGCCAAGAGGGAGGTGGGACCACGAGAAACTTCAGATGCCGGCTCCGGTTCAGATCACATTATTTTACTGCATGTCCCATAAAAGCATGGCCAGCACTCAAACCAGGCCAGTAGGTCTAAAGTACAGGCAGAGTACCTGTGAGA